CCATTGTGTGAATATACCACAGCTTCTCTATCCATTCATTTGTTGATGGGCACTTAGGTTGTTTCCAGCTCCTTGCTTTTGTGAATAAAGCCGCAATAAACATGGGTGTGCATAACCTTGGATCTTAAAGCTAAGAAGGCCTCGTGTTCTGTCTCGCTCTAACCTGCCAGTGTCTGTTAAGTACAAAAAATGAGTCTGACTTGGCATATGTCTTATTGTCTGTTATCAGTCTGCATTCTTTAGTATAACTCTGCTTTATAAAGATCCCCTTATGGCTCTGCTACTCATAAATCTTTCAAAACTTTTTAAGAATACTGTTCCTTTTTTTTTCACTCCCTTTTAAGTCTCCTAGGGCTGTGCACTCTATTTATCTTAAAATGAGTTTGCAGATAATGAGAAGGACTTGAAGGACTTGCTTCAGGAGATCAAAGACTACAGCCTTCAATATGGGTTGCATATCAATACCAACAAAACAAAAATTCTCATCATTGGACCAATAGGCAACATTATGATAGATGGCGAAAAGATTAAACTTTTGAACAATTTTATTTTACTTGGATTCACTATCAATACCCATGGTAACCACAGTCAACAAATCAAAAGATGTGTTGCACTGGGTAAATGTGCTGTCAAGAATGTTGCCAAAGTTCTAAAGAACAATGATATCAGTTTAAAAACTAAGATGCACCTGACCCCAGTCATGGTCTTTTCCCTTGCTCTTATACATCTTAATGTTGTTTGACAATGAATAGGATGACAGAAGAATACATACCTTTAACTGTGGAGAAGGTACTAACAGTCCCTCGAACTGCTAAAGAACAAACAAATCTGTCTTGGAGGAAGTACAACCAGGGTATTCCTTAAAGGCAAGGATGGTGAAAGTCGGTCTCATGTATTTTGGCCATGTTGTCAGTAGAGAACAATTTTTAGAAAAAGACAACATGCTGGGAAAGATAGATGGTCTAAGAAAGAGGAAAATCCTAGTGCAACAATGAATGAGTGGAAACCCAAAATCTCTGTAAATGTTTATGAAAATTAATAAAATATAATTATAGAAAAAAAAATAAAAAAGAAAGAGGAAAATCCTTAACAAGATAGATTGACACAGTGACTCTAACAATGAACTTGAACAACATGTCAGAGACCAGGAGGATGGTGATGGTGCAGGATAGAGCAAGGTGCAGGTCTGTTGTCCAAAGGGTTGATGATATGTATCATAGTCAACTTGATAGCACCTAACAACAACAACAAATTGAATTCATGTGAGTTCACTTTATGGGTTGATTCTGTATCCTGTGAACAGGGCCTTGAAGTGCATAGCTTATATCTGCCTCTGTGCTTCTCATATCTGTCCTTAGAGGCCAACCTTACAGGGTATCTGAAGTAAATCTCCATTTATTCTATCTGCATCCTTTCTAATTCCCCAGTGGTTAAAAATCAGGGCAGGTATATGCCAGAGAGACATCCTACCTCTATATCTTTTCAATCAATATGTGGAACAGATCATGTGGGAGGCTGGGCTCTATGAGGAGGAATGTGGCACCAGGATTGGAGGAAGACTCATCAACAACCTGCATTATGGAGATGATACAACCTTGCTTGCTGAAACTGAGGAGGACATAAGGTACTTGATGCAGAAGGTCTAGGACTGCAGCCTTCAATGTACATTGAAGCTTAATATCAAGAAGAAAAAGATTCTCTCCATTGGGCCAAATGGTAGCACCATGATAGAGAGAGATTGCGATTGTTAACAGTTTCAGCTTGCTTGGCTCCACAATCAACACTCTTGGCACCAGCAGCCAGGAAATCAAAAGAGGAATTGCACTGGGAAAATCTGCTGTCAAGGACCTCTCCAGAGTACTGAAGAGCAATGATGTCAGTATAGAGACTAAAGTGTGCCTGATTCAAGCCATGATTTTCACAATTACTTGCTATACATCAAAAAGCTGGACAATGACTAAGGATCATAGAAGACAAATCAATGCCTTTGAGTTATAGTACTGGAGAAGAGTATTGAACATACTAAGGACTTCTAAGAGAATAGGTCTGTCCTTGAGAGGGTGAAACCAGGCTGCTCCTTGGAGGTAGAAATTTTGAAGCTCCATCTGACATACTTTGGGCATGTAGCCAATTAGGAACCAATTCTTGGAGAGGCATATCATGGAAGCATGGAAAGACAGTGCAAGAGAGGAAGATTATGGATGAGATGGATTGACTCAGTTACTGGGGTAATTGGAGTAACTGTGTAGGAGACAATGATATTGGCTCAAGATAGAGCAAGGTTCATAACTATTGTACATAGGGTCACTATGAGCCACAAACAAGTCAGTGGCACAAATTATAACACAATTTGTTATTCCACAGTACTTTTGTCTCTTCAAAGAGGAGGGTCTAGATTCCATCTGTACCAGCCCTTTCACACCTTTAAAGTGGCACTTCTCTGTGTCTCCTGACTCTGCTTCTGGTGAGGAGTTCACAAGGGATACTTCAGGAGCAGACATGCTACATTTTATGAAAAGGTATTTTTATGGACTTAATCATACCCCTTCATAATATTTGTCAACTTGGCTAGACCACAATTCTCAGAATTATGTAATTATCTTCCATTTTGTGCTTTGACATAATTCTCCCATATGTTGTAATTTCCAGCATCTATCATTTTAATCATGTTAATCCAGCATTCAGGAGATCAGGAGATATACAGTA